TACCACAAAATATAAGGAAAACAGACAATAAAATTTCAGCTGTTAGTTATGTTACAATGATACGTTTGGATTCCATTGGACAGCTCATCTACCAAGCCAGCAAAAATTCCTAGATGATCTTCACCTGGATTATCGTGCAATTGTGTTTGATCCCGAGGACAGCTATTTTCAGAAATTAGAAGGCTATTTTGATGTTCAGCAGTGCTTCTCTAATCAGATATTTTGTGGCCCCTACACAGTGTCTGGATTTGTTGTTGGACTGCACAATTATTTTTAGCGCTCTTTAGACATTAAACTTTTTGGAGATGAAACCATCCTTACTCCATCCTTGCAGAGCCTGACGTTGCAGGAGTGGTTAGGCAGGGATGATGCAGTGGGTGGGGACTAGTTTAGAGAGGGCAGCAGTTCCTCCTTTTCCACTCATCCTGTGGGTCCTGCTGTGGTGGGCTTGCACATTCCTTGCATCATCTTTTGGTCTTTCTGTCCCTGCAATAAACTAACTGAGCTCACTGGCAAAGAAGAATGCCAGTCATGGCATTTATTGCATTAGTTTCCTGCTGGATTAATGAGGTGAATACTTCTATCGTACAGTTAGAAAAACATTAGAACTGTGAATTATTGGACAATAGAAAAAGTAGCAGAGGAATCCTCCTGTTATCCCGCAAACCTAATCACTATTAGAGATAACACTCCTTCCACATTTCTTCCATTTCCAAGCTTGTAAGTAATGCAGCTAATGGCTTCTCTTCTATGGATAACATTAAGGTACTTAGCATTTTTTATAGTGAAGCTCTATTTCTCGGCATCTGTAAAATAATATTTTTGCAGCCTGTTACTATCTAATCATAGGCAAGGTTTTACTTTCTCCTTTATGAGCTACATTCTTTACCTTGGATAATTGCTTGCTCCTGTTATTAGCTGACTAATAGATGACCATAACATTGATTTTAATAGCTCATTTTGCTCACAGTGGGCCATGGGAGACTAGAAAGACTAAAATCTTTGAGCACAGAAGAGGAAAATATAAGTCAATTTAATTTTATTGGATGAAAACCATGAAGTATAGAACAAAATCAATTTCAGCATCATCAGGATGTTGCTGTTTTCTTTATGCCATTTAAGTTTCCTTCATAAACTTTTCTGCACTAAGGTTAGAATTCTGTCTTGATACTTTTGATACCTTTGTTCTGGTTCTTATACTAAGGCAAAAGATCCTAGTTCCCTAAAGGGAAATTTAAACCCACCTGACTGTATCTAAGTCAGCAGAAGTTTCTGGTTTCCTGTGTGCTTTTTTCTTCTTATGTGTTGTTGTTATGGAATTGATTCAAAAGCAAACAATTCTGAAACTGTTACAACAATTTATTGTATTAGTATATTGTCACTGCTGATTCTGGCAGTCCTCTAACCTCCGTGACAGGAATATTTTCTCTATTTGTAGTGTCATTCGAGGCAACTGTAGGTGCTTGAGAATTATCAGGACTTGGCTTACCTCAGTTAGAAAGGATCTTGGAGCTGGAAAGCAGGAATATGACTATTAATGCAAGAGCGCTCGTGAACAGATGCAGCCTCTGCAGGAATGGGCAGGCTGGCCAGCCCTAATCACATCAGCTGGCATGGGAATGGGATGTCTGTCTGTCATGCCTCCATCCCTCACTAAGTACTGGCCAGCAGCATCCCTGGGGCATGTGGATAAGCCTGCACTTGTTTAATAGCATTGTTGATTCTATCCAAATTTGGGAATGGTTGGAGTGTATAAATACTTGAGGTCTCTTCTCCAGTCTTATTCAGGCAGATTCTGACTTTGTTAATTGGTGAAAAAATATGGGCTTTTTTTCAATTCTGAATTGTTTTGGTATTAAAAAGAAAATCATATCTTGATGCTACCTTGATTTCTATTGATGAGTGTACTTGTTAATGTTATAGATTTTAAAGAAACTTCCATATTTAAAGGCTAAAAGGTTAACAACTGAACCCAGATTGTCTCTAGTGAATCAAGCTCAATTTTCTTGAGCTTATTGAAAGCAATCTGCTCCAAAGAAACTAATTAGAGTGAATACAGAATGTCTGGGCTGTACAGCCCATGCACTCTCAGAGATTTTGTTCATTTATTTCCTGTAATTTTGTAAAATCAGGTAGTTGTCTGTCTCGCTTTCTCTTCTGATAGTGGTGATGTGAAAAGCAAAATATACTCTGAATTACCAAGTTGGACCTGGTGTGCTACAAGAAGGATGCTCTGATACTGCTAGCTGGATATCTATGCTTTTAAAAATGATACTGTCAGATTCATCAGCTGTAGTTGAACTGATGGCTGCTGGCTGGCTTGGATGATTCCGAGGATGCAAAAACCACAATTAATGAAGGATTCTTAATTGAGGCTTGTAATGTTAAGTAATTAAGTATGCTTTCTGCTTTATTATTATTATTTAGTCACATGCCTTACTCTGGTGTATTGCTTGTGTTGAATTTAAGAGTGGTAATCAAGCTGCTCTTGTCATGTTTTGCTTCATGCAGGAGGGAAGTGTTGCTTCGTTACATAGACGATGACAGCATCACTTCACATCTGGATGTAGATGGCTTTGGAGTTGTTAACGGTTGAATCAAAAGGTCTGATTTTTATATCCTGTGATATGTGGGATGTGGATTTGCAGGATTAAGTTTTGACAGCAGTGTTTGAACAATTATTTGCCTAAGTCCCAAAAGTCCTATTTTGTGGAAATAATGATAGAGCATGTAACAATTTTGAACTTGCTTGATATCCCTTAGGCAATTGATCTATTTATCTATGCAAAGACCTTTTCTTCCTAGAACTCTAGGCATCCTGAAAATTTATTGAATTGCTCTCTTTTTTGAAGGTAGGACCTTTTATATCTAATTTAAATAACTTGGTAGATCTCTGATAGCCCTTGCAGGGCACAGTAGCTTCTAGTGCAGCTTAGAATAGCTCTTTATACGTTTAGCAGCTGTGTGTTAACCCTCAAAACAAATGGAAAGGTGCAGAGCATTTTGTAGTGGAGAATCTGGTAGTGGATCACATCTGATATGGAGCTTATTTGAATCTGATTCCTTTGAAGAAACATCAGAAGCCCTTTTACTTCTGAAAAGGTGTTACTTTCCTGCAGGGTATCTAGTAAACACTCCTTATGCTGTTTGTTGGCTTGATACCTGAAAAGTCCCTGGTTCCATACAGATGTTTAGGAAAGCTGGCAATACTTGTCTTTATTGGGTAGAAAGTGCCTGGATATTCTGATGATGGGCTGGTGGCACATTCCCCATACATAAGGAAGTGACTGTTAAACTCATTAATTGTTCTAGAAGCTTTCCTAAATTCTTCTTTTCCACTTTCAGAACTGCGTTTTAAGAGAATCCAATTCTGCTTATATGTTCCAAAATGTTACAGCTAAAAATAGATGCTGAGAAACAGGGTTTTATTGTTTGTTTGTTTCCTTTAAAAAAAGAAAAAGAAAAAGAACAAAAAAAGGAGAAAAGAGCAGCATAAAATATCAGGGAGGTGGAGAGAAAGATACTTCCTACAGCTTGATTTGCCTTTTCTTTGTGTAAGATGGGTGAATGTGAAAATCAGAGTAATTAATCAATGTGAACTTTCCAGATTTATCATTGTTAAAGTGCACCTGTGCCAAGCAACATTGTGCTGATTCTGGAAAAAAAAAAAAAATTGCAGCATATTCATTAACCACCTCTGGGTTTTGTGCCTCATTTGCAGAGCATGGGCCAGGGAGAGGCAGGATTTTGGTTCGTGCTGAGGTAGTGCAGCACAAAGCAAGCAGAAGGACTTCAGCTGAAGATATTAACTGCTCTCTTCTTTTTTTTTTTTTTCTTCTCTTTGTTCCTTAATTTTTTTAATGAAAAGTGCTTTTAGTGGAAGGTGGCTGGAAGGAGGGGAGATCTTGAAATGTGTGGGCAAGTGTAGAGCTGGTTGTGTTTGCGGAGCCCCTCCTGCGTAGTGGGGACCGGTGCCTGCTGATAAGGCTCACTTGTGTGCACTGTGCCTGTGTCCTGGCTTTGCTTGCTTGCTGGCTCATGAATACAGCTGTCAGAGCTATTTAGGTATTAACTTTGCTGAAGCACGTGTGGACATCAAGACTTGGAACTTATTTTTAACACCCAGTTTTATCCCTTTTGATAAGGAGGGAGGAAAAAAAAAAATCTGAAACTTCTGAAGGAAAAACTAGTGAACTGATAAAAAAAATAATAAAATAATTATTTTTAAAAGGTGTATTTCGGTTTAAATATTTCACGTCTGCTGCTATGAGTATAGGAACATTTTATTTTATTTTACATGCTCTCTTGTCAAACCGTTTAATAGAAAAAAATTGAGTACTAATCAGAAATTGCCCTAGAGGACTTTGAAAATAATGGATTATCCATATACTGGCTTCAATAGTAGTAATATATCATTATACAGTACTACTTATTTGTCATGAAATAATGAAGATCTCTACAAAAGGCAGAAGAAATAATTGGAGGTTGTGATGTAGTACTTCTGGAAGTTCAGCGCAGTTTTCTGATCAGAACTGCAATTTCATGTATTCCCAGGGGTGAAAACTGTTGGGTTTTATTCTATTTTTTTAATTCAGAATTTTGATCAGTTTTCATACTCCAATAGTTAATATAGCTTTCTCTAAAACAGGAAATCTGTAATGTGAGTGCTGTAATGTTTGAGTTATCAGAGTTCTTGCTAGATAACGTAAACAAGGACTTAAAGGAGCTCTTATTCCATCTGTATATGTGACTGCCAAGCAGCACTGATATTCTCAAACTGTATGGTGGGTTATTCATTCATCTTTTTTTTTTTTGTCTTCTGAGTGTAGGCTGACTAAGATATTTTTCACAGCTGTGTTTAATAATAGGAGAGAGATACTGGGGTTGTGACTGCCTAAGGGAGTCTAGGTATGGATTGGAGTATGAAAAATAAGATAAAGATAAGGACTTATTAAATCCTGAAGACAATCAAGTCAAACAACAATCTGTCTCTCTTATAGACTCCACTGCTCTTCAGCTGTCCCACTTCTACACTGTTTGTAGAGAAGTGTTGTACCCAATTTACCTAGCTTGTATTTTGTGGATGGCTTTTAACTACAAGCACCTACAACACCAGCCTTTCTGTAAGTTTAACCAAGTCAAATGTCTTGAATGCTCAACATGTGCATGTGTGGCTGACTCTCACTAGTCAGCTGCAGTGACACACTGTCAAATAAAATAAAAATTCATAGAGTTTAAAAATATCCCACTCTCCATGCCCAAGTGCCTCCACACCAATCTTTAGCCAAAACTATCAAGAAACAGTGTAATGAGGAGAATTAGAATCATTTTACATATGAATTGGTAACATGTAACTTATCTCAAATGCTGATAATGTTGAATGGCATCTTGCATTCTATGATTCTGTGTAAGAGCAGGCTGTTTTGTAAAGCACTGTAACAAGCATAGGGTGACAGATAACCACGTCACCACAAACTGTGTAAGTCCATGAGGCATGCAGCAAAACAAGCTGCTAAATGATGTTTGTGTTTCAGCCTTTGTTTTTTTTTTGAGGTCTTCATTGCTCCTTGGAGGCTTCTTTCACTTAAAGAAAAGGAGATGGCAGCCTCTGTGCTTGTAGATAGAACTAATTCCGTTGTATCAGAAGATACCACTGAGTTGTTGCCCGGAATTGATGGGTTTTACAAGCTCATGCTGCGTTTGGTTTGTTCCTGCTCTAGACTGCAGCAATCACAAATGGACAGAACTGGTGCAAGCCAAATATTGTAGCTTCGGATGCTGAATGTGGAAACTGATAGAAACAAGGCTTTGCCAAGTGGTGAAACATCCTCCCAGGCCAATACCAGTCTCTTGTGACTGTGTTGTACCTCAGCCTGGACTGTTGGTAGGATTTCTTCCTCTTTCCAGCTCTAAAGAATCTTTAAGCTCTGATACCACTGCTTGGAAATTTGATAACACCTGGACCAAGTGCAAGTAGAATCGTGAATGCTTGAACTGATAGAATAGTGAGATATGCCAACCAGTTAATAGCCTCACACTATGTACTCTTGCTGCACACAGACTTTCTGGGCTGGAGAAGCTGGAGGCTTGGTTTCCAGAATGAAGAGCTGGTGCTGAGAGATGGGTTCCAGAGAGAAAAGGCCGTCCAAAGAGAATGTGAAGATCCTGACTGAAGGATGTATCTGGGAAGTGAAGGAAGATCCTGGAGGTGAGGTAAATGCATGGAGAGCAAGGAGATGTCCAGTGCCAAATAATTGTGCCTGAGACCAGAAACTGCAAGCAACATCATAGCAGAATCCAGCAGGAATTTCTGCCCAACCTGCTCTAGCCAATGGACCTGCCTGCAGGGAAGCCAAGACCTTGGGAACATCATGGGGAAGCTGTAACAGCCGTAGAGAATAAGCACTGAAAAAAACAAACCCTGCTGAAGTTTTTTGCAGAGGTGGTATTCTTTGTTTTCCCAAGGATTCTGGGTGAAACTTAAAGCAAGCTATGAGATGAAGAAGGAAGCAGGGAGGGGGAAGTGCTGCTGTTAATTTGGCATTCATTTTAAGGAGCTGAACGGCAGCCAGAAGTAGTGCAGATGGCATCTCAATTCCCTCTTCTTTTGAAGAAAATGTATTTTTAATACAGTAACTTTTTGTTTCCATTAAGACATTTTTAGCTGTGGAATAAGGACAGTTAAAGGCAGTAGTTAAACCGCCAGCTTTTTGATGACATTTCTGAAAGCAGTTTATTTCCCAGAGTGATAGATGTATGAAACATATGGTTTCTTCAGAGCCACAACCAAGGAGCTGGGTAGTAAGGATGCAGGGGGCTAGTTGGCAGAGACCCCTGGAAGGAAGCAAAAGGACACAAATATGGTGATATTGTGCTTTTGCATATGGGTGTGGTGGTGACAGGAGAATTTGTCTGTATTGAATTGTATCTTCTACTGTTCTGACAAATCAGAACTCTAAGCTTTTCTAGATAAACTGCATCCCAGACACCTGCTCAGTTTTCTGACACCTGATCAAATGTCTATCTGACTGCCATTAGGACTGCAAATCTGCATCAGGTGAAAGCATACCATGCTTTAGGTGTGGTATTTTATAAATAATTGATTCTTTCAGTAAGGGAATTTTCCGAGAGTAGCTTTTTCATGAATCTATTTGAGAAGCATTCTCTTAGGTAAACTTCAAGACAAAGATAAAATTTGAACTAAAATACACATACCAAACAAGCTACTGTGTGCATTTGGTTGTCAATAAGGTAAAGCTCATATTTTGGCAATTTATTGCATCTCTAATGCGAAACTTCAGATTTAGTAAAATTTTGAAAGCATTCCCATGGGGAGTGATTAGCACTGCCATAGTATAACTTGTGATTGATAGCAGTATGAATCAGGAAATGCCTCTTAAAAGACTTTATAAGAGAAGCTATCTCTTGAAATCAACAGTTAGTGTTTTGTTATTATTTGTGTATCTCCACAACTAAAGAATCTAAAGCTTGATTTTTACAGAAAACCATTCAATTGATATTGGAGCCGTTGCTTCTACTTCCTTTTGAGAGACAAAATTCTGAGATTTTACCATTAAATAAGTGAAAGAATGACTAAAAGGACATGACAACTGGAAACGTTAGTTATTCAAACATTTTATTCCCAGAACTATTAAATAAATAATTAGATAAATAAATGAAAGTATCTGATAATGCAGAAGGTTTATTACTCAAACATCTTTTCAGAACTATCTGTTGATGAGCTCTCAACTCATGCACCTGTAACTGGTGCTGCTGTCCCCGCTGCCTGCAGTGGGTCCCACCTGGGGTGCCGGCCCATCCCTGCATGTGCCCGGTGAGAGCTGCAGGTGCCATTGGGGCAGGACTGGGCTGCCCCTGCATGGCTGCTGCAAGGGCTGAGGTGAGGAGGGCCTGAGGAGCTGCCGCTCTGCTGCCTGTGGGTGCCGGGGAAGCTCCTGCTGTGCTGGGCCAGTTGTAAATTTGGGACTTGTGTGAGATGGAGGAGCAGAAGTGGCAGCCGAGGTCTGGCTGCTGCTCAGTGACAGCAGGGAGGGGGCCAGAGGCTGGCACGTTTCCCTCTGTGCTGCTGCAGCAGGGCTGGCAGGGCTGGAGCAGCACTGGTTTGGATGGTGGCTTTCTTAGGGCGCTTGAGTGGTGGGGCCCCATGGGTGCCACTGTCTCTGTGCCTTCTTCCTTTGGTGCTGCCAGCAGGCTCCTGCATTGCCCAGCAGCTGCTCCCTGCATGAGCTGGGCACCTGGTCTGCTCCTCAGATGGCTCTCGTTCAGGTCTCCCTGCAGGGCAGGGGCAGCCACCTCTGTCTCCTCAGAGCAACTCTTTGCTGTCAGTGTTCAGGCAATTATGGATCATCTCTCTAGAAATGTGGGTGAGAGTAGAAGAGGGACTGAAAAATGCAGAGGAGAAGAGTTAGTCGCTGTCTGGAACTGAAAGATGGTGAAATACAGGAAGTAAGACCTAATTGCTGAAGGCAAAGATAGGTAGTAAAAAGGTCTGTCGGTCAGATTCATCTCAGAGCTTAGGTTAAGTCAAACAAGATATGTTGCAAATACATTGAAATAAATAGACTCATCATATCCTGATTTATCTTTCTTTTCTATGTGTTCAAATTGGGATATAACTCAAATCTATTTTATCAATATTTCTGCTATTCAGCAATGCAACCTCTCAAATACCTAGAAACAGACAGAAAAAGATGTAAAGATGAGAACAGACTGACATCGACCTCTCTTCTATTACCAAGGCTTATTTTCTTGAAACTTTCATCCCACCCACCAGAATCTTGTGAGAGTTGGTTTACGTGTGGAGCAACTGATGTACCTTCCTGTGAGCAGCAAATGCTTCTTCCTCTGCCAGAAGCTCAGGAATGGAATGAGCTCTTGTGCAGTCATGGTGTATTCTGGTGAATCTTCACGGATTAAGTTTGTGAATGGAGATTTTCATGTTTTCAGTCTGAAAATCTCTCACAGGTCCTTTCCTTCCCAGTACTTGGAGCTTAAACATTTCTTCATCAATGACAACACAGTTTCCACCATGATCCCACCAAATCATCTTAAATTGGTCACTTTCAATTGATGGCCAGAGTTTCTGTGGAAAGCTGAGGGCTGAGGAGACACTGGCTTTGCTCTCCTCAGAAGAAATGTGAGGGAAACATTTGGTTTCCTCTTCATCAGAAGTTAGTGAATCCTTTTCTTCCTTTATCCATGCTAGAGCAGCATCCTATATTGTTCCTCATTCATCCTGTCCTGGAGGATGAGAAGAAGGAGAGTCTGAGGACTCAGCCAACTTCTTCAGATTCAGGTGGCTCAAATTTAATTTCTCTTGTCTCAGTTTGACTGAAGTTTTCATGTAGAGGCATTTCTGCGGTAAGGCAGTTTTCACCCTGCAGGTCAGCAAGCAAAGTCTATGAGAACTGTCAGGGGATTCCATTGGGAGATTGTCAGACATCACTGTAACAGCCACGTGTCATCACAGTGACATCGCTGTGTGGTACCCAGGGCCTGGTTGGCTGGCGCAGCCAGAGCAGATGTCACTGACCAGCACTTGTGACTGCACAGAGCCACGGGTGTTTAAACGTGAGTAGAGAAGCAAAGAGAGATGTATTGAAAGGGGTTCAGTTGTTACCTAGACCTTGCTTCCCCTTCCCTGTGTAGTCCCTGAATAGCTCGCTTCTGGCCTCCTTGGTGTCCCTCTGGTTCTCCAGATGGGACTGGGGGGAAATCAGCTTCTCAAGCAACACTAACAAAAGAAAATAGCAATCTCTTCCCAGTTTGTAACCACTTCTTGGAAATGCTCCATGGCTTCTGCAAGGCAGTAGCTGTATGCCCAGGTGGTGCTCTACAATGTCAGCAGTCTCCCAGAGGCTGCTCTGTAGGTCCAACTAGGAGAAGGCAGTAAGTACATTTTGCTGATAGTACAGACAACCCCTCTTTGGTTCCTATGCTTTTATTCGGTATTTTGTATATTTGATATTCAGAAAGCAAGCTAATGAAATCTGTGATGTTATTTAAGCCTTTCAAATTACACTCCTCTCTACAGGAGCAAGGGCTTCATATGTAAAGGAAAGGCTTGGTCTGGAGATGGTGTATGTTTGCAGGCCTTGAGTGTATGCTAAGTCTGAGGACATCACTAAATTGGAGAAGCTGTTGACTCCCTTAAGGGCAGAGAGGCTTTGCAGAGCAATCTTGACATATGTGATGGCTGGGCAGTCACCAAGTGCATGAAGTTGAACAAGAGCTAGTGCCGAAATCTGCCCCACAGTGGGCAACCCAGGATGTATGCACAAACTAGGGGACAAGAGGCAAGAGAGCTGCCCCACAGAAAGGGATCTGGGGGTTCTGGGTGATGGCAAGTTGAATCTGAGTCAGCATTGTGCCATGACAGCCCAAAGGGCCACCTGTATCTGGAGGTGGTCAATCAAGCCCACACTGACAGGTGAGGGAAGGGGTTGTCCTGCTGTGCTCTGTGCTGTGTGGCCTCACCTCCAGCACTGGGTGTTGTTTTGGGCACCACAGTCTAAGGACATAAAAATGTTCGAGAACTTCCAAAGGATGGCTATGAAGATGTGATTATTCTTGCTCAGGTAGTCTGACTCTGTTTTGAAGAGGAAATTTAGTTATAATGTGTTTGTTTTATGAAGCTAGTTCTCAGCTAGTGTTTTCCAAACCACAGGTTGTAAAGCTAACACAAGGAAAAATGTTCATATTATATTGTATATATATTGTATATATACTGTATGTATATTGTATAACATACAAACCTGACTAGCTGAGATTTCAGCTTCTGTCCTCTTTTGCAGTGATAGCAGTAGCTAATACTCTTCTGAATGCCTTAGAATCTCTTATCCCTTTTGAATTAAAATTCACAATGTGTTTTTTTGCTAATTAATTTGGAGATAGGGTTGGGAAAATATTTTCATGTGGCTGGGGAGAGCTACTGGTGTCTGCCACTGCTAAGGCGGGAGGCTTTTTCTCTCATTCTTTTTAGGAATAGGCTTAAGGCAGTTCAAAAGGGAGAGTGAAGCTCTGAATTCTCTGATGGAGACTTGTTTTGCAGCCAGATTGCTATGACAGAAAATGCTTTGCTCCAGCACTCATGTAGCTTTGTCTGGGCTTTGTGATCAGCATCATCCCAAAGAAGCAAAACTGTTTAGGAAATTTATAGATAGCAATTTGGTCTCCAGTGTAGCAAAGGCTCATCTGTTAATTGCTTTGAAGATTAAAGTCAAGACCTTGAACTGGCATCTGAAACTGACTTTAGAGATAAGCCCTAGCCGTGAACTTCTGTCATCTCCTTTGCAAAGCCTTTGGTATTTAGAGGATAATAGATAAGCAGGATATCCAGGACAGCATCTAACTGATGTAAAGGATTTGTTTTATGGGAACCTAAATTGTTTCAGGGCTAAAACCAGTCCTCTCTAGGTCTGTTTTCCAGAGATCTTTCCAGAGAAGATGTAACCTAAGAAAGAGTGAAAGTAAGGCCAAGTAGACACACAAAAGTGACAGCAAGTCAAATATTGATAATATCTGCCATGTAAATAATAGGCACTTGAGGTTGCTAATTGAATTGATATGTAGTTTTAATTTAAGATGAATAAAAAGAAACACTTTCCTAGATATGGTGTTGTGTTTTTTTGTCCTTTTTTTTTTTTGATGGGAGAATTCTTTTTTTGGTCTTCTGATCCTCCAGTACCTTTCTTTCTCTTCTTCCTCACTACACAAACCCAATTTGGATTAAATTGCCATTTTTTGCATAATGAAGTGAAACATCATATTCTGAGATTGTTTAAACATTTTTTCTTTACTCTTTTTTTTTTTTTCAAGGCAGTTTTCACTGAGGGATGTTTCTCTTTTTCTGTGTTAAGAATGCTGTAGGAAAATGCTTATGGCAAGTTAAAGAATTTGTTCTGAGATGCTTAGGAATAAGTGAATTCCCTAGTTTTGGTTCCGTCACTCAATGTCATTTTTATCAAAAGGATCTCTGTTAGTCAAATATGATACAAGCAAATAGAGATGTTTTCTCAGAGATCCTCTGCTGTGCTGGGACTAGAGTCTGATTTAAATACAATTTTGAGAGCTCTCTTTTGATGGCATTTGTTTTTGTGGTGTTTGGGAGCAGTGCCAAATAGGTGTTGCACGTGGCCAACTACAAGGACAAAATCACAGACACTCCACACACTGCAGAACTTATAGCACACAGTTAAATGGAAAAAACTTGTGATGTGTAACTAGTATGGTAACAGCAGTGCTGCTGTTAAAATTTCTTTTTCTCCAGGAGATTAAAAATAACAGATTTAATTAGGAGAGGATAAACATCAGAGGGAAAAGAACGTATGCCATTGAACATGAAGGATGAGGAGTGGGGAATTTATGAGTAATTGGTGAAATCTAAAATGGGAATGAATTGAAGGTGCTACATGGCAGGTAACAGGAGGCAGTCTGAACAAACCACTGTCAGTGAGAAGTCTGGAAATAAAAAGAGCTCTTGTATGTTGTTATACCAAAGAACAGACCTGCTCTACTTTGGTTTCTTCTGTCTGTTTCTATCTGAACTCAGGTTGTCCTTCTTGAAGTTATTTTCTGTTAACACTATTGAGGTTGTTCAGTGATACAGTTTACCTGTTCTTATGGGCTCAGATAATACAGGTTGTTCTCTCATGCTGCCAGGCCTGGAACATCAAGCAGTGGTGTTAGCCTTCTTGGTGGGTGACTAATGTATCCAGCAGCATTTCTGAGCTCAGGAAAGCAGAGCCCAAAGAAAAACACTTCAGGCATCTACAGGTCCTTCCAAGCTGCAGCAGAGAGAGGAGAAGTGGGAAATAGAAATAGGGCCTCTGAGTTCTGTTCCAGGAGATGGGAGGTGAGTGCTCAGCTACAGTGGAGCTTGCAAAAAATGATGTTGGGATAGATGAGTGTGCCCCTTTTGCTCAGTGAGCTTTTTTCTTTCTTTTATCCCTCCCTGCCCCCCTCATCTCCACAGTTTATTGTGATATATAAAGTGGATGTTGTTCTCTACCTCATCCCAGCCCTGCAGCTGGTGCTCTATTTTGAGAAGGAAGATGATGAAAAGAGGATACTATGATTTGGTTTGAATTGCAGCCACTCTTACCAGCTCAGCTGTGGCTCTCCAACACAGGCATGGTGCTTTCCTTCTCAGTTTTTTATTAGAAGTAAATATACTACTTGTATAGGTAACGGCTATCCTGTGATGTGTGAGCCAAGCACAAAAGGGATTCTGGTATAACCTCAGGGAGCTGCAGATAACTTAATTTTACTGTTTGTTGTCTTTGTAGCAGTGGCTGGCTACCAAGTACTTGGGTAAATTGTTTATTTGAAGAGAAATACAGGAACAAATCTATAGAGCATTGTAATGCATCTTTGCTCAGTTTTTTTTTTATCATAAGAGAATCTTAAAAGTTAAGCTGTAGTAATTACTGCTTGCAGGTAGCAGAGATTTATCGTTGCTCTTATGCAGAGATCTGCTGCCTACGTTAAAATGTTTCCTTCTGCAAAAGCAATCTGAAATCCCTGTTTTATTGACAAACGCAATTTTCCTTAGCTTTAGAGGAAGATGGAGAAGGGTAACTGCTGATTTATGTTCTGAACAAATATCCCCAAATGGTGCATACACGCACATGGATTTCTTGGTTACTGTGCTATTAATGTTTACCTTAATATTTATCTTAAAGATGTCTTTTTTTTTTTTTTTTTAATGTAAGAAGCTTCCTCTGCATGAAAATTGTTTTTTCTATCTGATCCCACGTCCCAAAAAGGCACCACAAAAATCATAGTTTCTTCTGCCTCTCTGTAGAATTGAGACACTAATGATCATGAGTTTTACAGCTCAAATGGCACCTTCCATACTGTCACAATAACCTTCTTATGCTACTTGTAGAAGCAAGGCATCCTAGGGCAATTACACATAAAATGATAACATGGCTATGTTTCAGATGTACAACAGGAATAAGCAAAATCTTTGCTGATGCTGTGACTGGCATTCTGCAAATATGTCATATGCAAATGGAGATCTTTAGCAAATTTTGTGGTATAAATTGTAGCTGATAAAGAAGTCGAAATGTTTTGAGACAGTGGCATCTTTGAAGAAAAAAATAAACAGCATAATCTTATGTGTGTGGGAATGGTAGAGATCTGTGTATGAACTAGATCTGTACCATATCAGTTCACAGATGGTCCCAATCCAGTTGAGACATCAAAAATAAGTCTTGAGAGTTGCAGCTTTAACTTCAGTACGTTTGTTCTTGTCTAACTTAATTCATGCAGAAGGATCTGCAGGAGTGGAATAATCCTAAATTTTCATGAAGGGAAAACTCTTTGTGACTTGAATTTTTTTGAAGTTTTAACGAGTACTGTTAGATTTAAGAATTAAATTGAAAACATCGTCAATTTCATAGAATTCTTGAATATCCTGAGTTGGAAGGGACCTCCCAAAATCAAATCATTTTTCTGAGAACATTGTCCAGACACTTCTTGAGATGTGCTGAAATGCTCAAAGATACCATCATGCCATTCAGAGACATGCAGAAAATACCTACCTGCCAAAATAAAAGAGGAAAAAAAATAAAAGGAGATTCTACCTCTTCCTTCTATATATATTAGTATGGAGAATAGCTTATTGGATGAGGAGTCACAAAGCACATGTGTCCTCTGTAGAGAGAAATGAAGTAATGTATTCCCTGTGTCCATAGGGATAGAATTCAAAAGCTAAGAGAAGAATCCTCAAATAATACTGTTGAGTAACGGTGGCCTTGGAGTGCCATAGATTTTATTTAGGCCCATGGCTGGTGGCACACGAGACCTGTGTTTAAAGGATTGATTGGAGTATGGCTGTTTATTATTGATCATCCATGGCCTTTAAATGTACAAATCAGCAACTTGTTTCTAGTTTGAGCAAAACTGTGATGCTAGGTGGACTTTTTCTGCCATAGACTGTTGTCTTATATTCACACAATGAAGACTATTTATTGGACAAGATCTTGAGATGGTCTTTGCACCTGCAGCTCACATTGGTTTAGGAGAGATCAGTAGGTAATTCAGTAGCTTGCAGTATCAGCCTGCTGGAACTGAGCAGAGTTCAGTGAATACCCTTTAAAAACCTGTTTGAAGGCGGCTGCTATTTAGAAGGCTTAAAATACTTGTTATAGATAGCTTGTGACATTCCCATCCATCTAGTCAGAGATGAAGATAAATTAAGAAGTGTAAACAAAGAAGGAGCATTCAAAAAATTCAATACTGTACTGATTTCTCTTTTCTCTTCCATTTACGTCTTCAGGCTGTAAGACTCCTTAAAAATGAGCAAATCTTTATAAATTAAATAATTTTTAAACAGAAGAGAAATATTTTTGATTTAAGAACAGCTACTGCAATATATTGGAGGGGCGGGGATGACAACAATTTTATTCTGCCGTGATTATAAGGAACTTCATGCTTACCCCAGCTATAAACACTCTAAATTGTTACGACTCTTCACTTTGTACAATATTGGACCAGTTTCTGCCAATATAAATTTATATAGATTTTTATCAAGTGATAGCAAGTAGTGGAAACAAGCATTAAAATGAGAAGGTACAAAAGGGAGCATCAAAGGCAAGAGAAGAGTTTTGATGCTCTCAGATGTCAGAAATGCCGTCTCAGGGTAAGGCTTTAAATGAAATCTTGTTTGAGAAAGTGGATTAAATTTATCCAAGGGTCACTTCATGGCATTTCTGAGTTGGTCATATTAGGCTGTTTCAGAGGAATTGATGAGAAAATTGGACGGTATCAATTACTACTAGAAAAGATCTTGAACAATAATATAATCCACCAACTACCACCAGATGTTTAAAGTTCTATGTATTACCTGTTTTAATTTTCTGTAATGAAAATATTTCAGTATTTCAGGCTAATTCTTTAAGCAGTTGTTGATGATGGTTTCTTGATTTTAGACATCATTTTCTTTTGAAATTTTTCTCATCCATAACTGAATTCAGCTGAAACCGTGTTCTTACTCCTGCTTTCTTGATGTTGGCCTTAGAATGCTTCGCTGTGCAATCAGATTTGTGGGGATGATCTTTGCATCTTACTGAGTACTTTGATGGGCTATTTAAGACTGACTTTGTGCTAACTGTGTATGGGAAACAGTGGCTCTATCAAATAATGTCATTAATGGTTTCAAATTAGTTATTGAGAATGATTTTTAAATATAATTTGTGACCTCTCAAGGGAGCAAGAAAGAGGCTGAAACTGAACATACACAGATCAAGTAATGGAGCATTCTGAATACCTAGAAGGGAACGTGAGATCACTATTCTGCAGAGGAGTCCTCGGGAGGTTAACAGTACTAGGATTGTAGTACTTAACTTGAAGTTATGTCACATTTTGTACATGTAAATATGACAGCAGAACAGAAAGATTTCCTCTTTTCTAAAGTTTAGATGTCTTGATTTCCCATCTCTTTGTTAAGTGCTTTGGTTTAGTTGGTAAGTGGGGATTCTCCTGAATTTTCTTCCCTTTGAAGAAGAGAAAGTGCCTTCTAAAGATCCCAAGGCAGACTGACTAGGTATCTGAGAGAAAAGGAGGAGTTTTCAGCCAGTGTTTGGAGATAACAGCTGTACACAAGGGAATAAGACAGGTGAGCAGAGGAGAAAGCAGTGATGGGATTGGTGCACTTCTTTGCTGTATGAATTGACATAGTTAATTATGCATCTGCTATATTTTTTCTTAATGATCCAGTAGACCTCAAGTTCAGCAAATCTGTGGTTCTTGCTGATTATTTCACTCAGCTCTTGATTAGAGACTCTTGCCATTCAACTCTGATTGTCATCTGCCCCCTGTTTGTAGCTGGTGATGCTTGCTTTTGTTTGCCTTGATGAATATTGGTATTAATTCCTTGAATAACAAATTTGTTCCATAAATGGAGAGACAATAATAAGAAATTGTATATCAGACTTACTTGAATTTTCTAAATGCATTAATAAAGATGAAAAAGACCAAGTATAAATATAAAACTGAGATGGCTATTCTTTTTCAATCAGTATGAAAAATGAAAAAAAAAAGAGGAAATTTATTATTCACGGAGCTTTAGTTGCTCTTTCTTAGGGAAAATGGTCAACCCAACCCCCCAGTAATGGATTCTCAAATAAATTCAGATATTGGGGCTTTCTTTGCCTACTTTTACAGTATATTTCATTTTCCCTTTCATGAGGAAAAGAATAAAAAGCACATTTCCATATATAGCTGAGTGGGAGCATTTCCAATAACCATGAAGCGTGTTTCAGGAGTCATACCTGCATAGGCCATGATTCAGTAATGATAATCATAAAGATACCAAAGTATTATTTATTTCATTGTACTTCAAGGCATCACCCTACCTGTCTTCCATAATATTTATGAATTTTGTGATATAATTAAACAGCAGTCATGTAAATGCAATTAAGAATGAGAATGCAGGTTTACCTCTTATTACCTGTAATGCTGATGTGCTCCCTAACCTTCCATAGTTACCTCCATTAGATGCATACTCATGTTATCTCCCACTGGCCAGCGGAGTGAGCCTGTAGTGGGGACTTGAGCATTGTTCTGTTTCAAGTTGCTTGGTCTTCCCAATGTCCTTTGGAGACACCGTATCAGCTCAGTAAAACTCAAATGATTCTTGCTCCTCACATTTTCCTCATCTTCTATCTTTACTACATATTCTAATTCTTTTCCACTGGCTTAGAAACCCAACTTATATTTTCCAAGAGAAGGAACATTTGTATTACTTCCCTTTTTAGATGTTCAATGTGACATGCTTTAAATGTTGTTTTTTTGATATCTTTGTTCTTTAAATAAAGTATATGCAGCCTATTCTTCCTTAGGCGCTTTAATCTTTAATTGCCTTTGAAAACGTAAGTTGATGTGGATACTGCTTTCTGTTGCCTTTTCTACATCTCCTATTATTTTTGGTGACAGTGTTTCCCAGTATCACCTGTCCTTCCATGTGAAGATTTCCTGTTATTGCTTGAGGTCTGAGAATAATTCAGCTTGCATTTTTCTTTTCCCCCCAACTTCCAGCACCACTAATTGAATTATGATTCCTCAAGAGAATGTGTACGTGTTTTCTGTTTTGGTTCTAAGAGGGATGAATGAAGATGCAATTAGAATGTCTAAGCTGTTTTTTTCTCAAATAATGTATCTGAAATTCATCTTAAGACATTTTCCAGAATGTTTGTAAGTATTAAACCTGTATGAAATGAATCATAATTTAAATGACAAAGCAGTACCTTACACTTATCAAAATTTGATTTCTATCTTTTTATTCTGTTTGATTTGTGTTGTGGTTTAACCTGGCAAGCATGTAAACACCACACAGCCT